TGTAACTATAGCTACAAAGACGAGTTCAGGGCAGGACAACAATATAATGTAACCTACAATAACTAAAGAACCTGCCTCTTTGAGCGCTAAATACAATTTATATAGACTTAAGAATACATGCACAATATAAAGCTAAATATGTGTATAATATCTTTTTATCAACAATGAGACAATGACTACATTCAAATTAAGGTAAGCTGATGTTGAACCTACCATTAGTAGCATTACTGGGCAGTCCAAGAAAAGACAAACTCTAAAGGCTAGACATGTAATTAAACAGTTATAAGACATTTCAATTTAACCTGAAGTATCGATACTCCAGTAAATAAGACGATATACACAACAATAACATGATTCAAGCACAGTGATAGATGTTTGAGACACCCCAGTAGAACTTTACATATCAAATGAATCAAATAAAAAAGAAAACTAAAGCAAATCTATAAGAATTATACTCAGAATTATACTTATTTACAGGATCTGCGTCGCAATTAACAAAACTATTAAAATAATTCTAACATCAGTGATATTAACACCTACTATTGCTAACCAAGCTGAACAATTGTTATGAATAATATAGTATTTATTGATAAGTCACCTCTTTAAAATATCATTATAATAATTACATATATCAATACCATACAGTTTCAAATGGTAAGCTAATGAGTTAAACAACAAGTTAACAAAGATGCTAGTTTCTGCATGCAGTTAATGTTTTATTCATTTTTTATCATCATCATTGCTACTATTATTAACGTACAATCCTATATATACAATATATTTGGATATGCAGGAACCAAAGGAGGCAAGGAGGGAAGAAAGAATAAACATAAATATAAATTTGTGAAAATAAAAACAGATCTATACAGACAAACTTAGTTTCTAGGAGAATTCACAATTAAAATGATCTTGCAGGGCACTATGTAGCTCTCTCAAGCTCCCTTTAATAACTTGACAATCCAGGGGAAAAAAATGTTGTGGTTTGCATTTTGGTTTCCACATTTTCTCCAGCAGATTGGGGGGGGGGGGGGGTCAGCACTATAGCAAGATTTCTGAGAGAGTGGAATAAAGAACTGATCAAATTCTTCAAGCGCACTCCCTCCATTTCTGAGACGCTATATTTCTATT